ATAAAACCAGTCATACTATCAAAATGCTAATATAGTCTTTTATTTCACCCCATGGAAATTCTAAAATTATACTGATAAAACAGTGGGAGTTCTTCATATTCTATGATGTAATTCTCTGTCTCTTTCCCCCACCCAGGTCCATGTCTCTGGAGATAACTTCCACTGCTATATATCCTTCCAGAGGTATCCTGTGCATATGTACCTCAAGGGAAGCTTTAACCCTTCAGTGATGGCATGGTATACACAAAACACTACATGTTCCTTTTGTCATTTAACTGCATATATCAGAATTATTTTTATGTGGGCAAGTGACAAGTTTTTTAGTTGTTTTTCCATAATGTGATAGATGGGCCTCATAGACTGCATTCTGTTTACTGACGTCTCTTATGATGCACATCCTATATAGTTGGCAACAATCAGGCCTAAGGAATAGAACTTTTTGTTTTTTAAGATGAAATGTAAAGTAAAATTAAATTGTAGGATTGGGATGTAGCATGTGTAAGTCTCCAGGTTCCATCCTCAGTACCACAGGAGGAAAAAACTAAATTGTCTTTTCAGAGGCCACACTTAAAACGACCTAGCAGATTCTGAAAAAACATTCTTACCTTAAAAGTAGCAAAAGCATCTGAAGCAATGTCAAAGGTTGACAATTCCACATACTTGAAGAAATCTCTGAATTGATTAGAAAAGAGGATGATTTTGGCAAGTGGCTCATGTCTAACACACTCTCTCAGCATAATCCCACAACGTAAGGCAATCTGTGGGGCTTCATATCTACAGCATAAAGAAGAGAGAAACAGAGAACTTTGTTATCCCATTAACTAAATATCAGTGATAGCCAAAGAACTGTTTCAGTATTGCTACTAATGGAAACGCAGATACCATTTGTCAAGTTCATTCAAGCACTATTCATTCATGATCCCTTGGCCAGCACATATTCTAGATGCTGGTGATGCCACAATAAACAGTAAGGTCATTGATAGTCCTCATAGTTTAGTGAGAATGTGTCTGGTGAAGGGAGGAGGAAGACTTAAACAGTGTAAAGATAATTTTGTATGTTCAGAAGTGTTGTGAAAACTGAAGACAATAAATTGGGCAATACTGTATAGCATGACCTCTTAATTGTGTTGTGAATGATTATTTAATTTTTACTGATTGAAAGGAACAGGTAAAACATTCCAGGCAACTGTATTAAGGCTCCAAGGCAAGAACTTGCTTGGTGAGTTGGAGGAGAATAAATGTAGCCAGAGTGGGAAATACTGGGACCGGCAGTGAATGGTGTGACACCAGGCAGGAGACTGTGGGCGAGGTAAGTGGCTTGGTCTCAGTTTAAGCCTTTGGAGGGCGAAAGCCAGAAACTGACACACACTCAATAGTTATGATGGGATTTTTTTTTTTTTTTTTTTTTTTTTTTGTACTGGGAATCCAATTCTGGACCTTGCGCTTGCCAGGCAGGCACTGTGCCACTGAGCTATACGCCTGGCCTGGGATATCATTCAAGATGTTATAAAGAGGGATCTATTTCTGAAATGTCAAGGAAAAAATACTGTCAATTACTGATAGAGGATTTAAGAGACTATAAAATACAGGGTGTTGGCCTGCAGAAAGGGGTATAATTAAAATCTGGACCTACTAGCACTGCCTTTGCAGACTTCCATCACTTGGCCCTCACTCTGACTTTTCAGTTTCATCTCCCACCACATTCTCCATTGCCCTGGAGGACACCATTTCCTCACATGGAATTCCCCTCGCACGTTCCACCAAGATTCTCATCTTGCAAGGTTTAGTTTAAATGCCACCTCCTTGAAGTCTTTTGTAATCGTCCACCATTCAGAATTATCCTCTCCTTCCTTCATACTCCCCCTACAGCTTATCTGTCATTTCACTTTAGCACTTTTCTCATTCTGGGTGATGTCACATTGCCTAATAAATCTGTGGCCTTCACCTCATCTTACTTATTCTGGTACTTTCCCCTCTCTCTCCACCCTCATCCCTATTGGGTGTCTAGTCTTATTTATTGTTGTTTTCCTCCATCTCCACTCCATTCTCCAAAGAGTGCCGAGCATAATGCTTTTTCACAAAGTAGGCAAAAAGAATTTAATTAACCTCAAACTGACTGAATTTCCTAATACTAGAAGACTCTAGTGAGGCCAAATTCTGGCTTTTACAAAAGCTATATAATCTCTAGCCAACATTTCCAATTCAATTTCCAAACTGAGACCATCTTATAAAAGTTTCCAACTTTTGGGTAAAATTAGTTCTTTTCCCTTTGGTTAAATTTATTGGAACCATCTGTGATGCACTGATGAGTTATTCTTGAGAATTAAGAGAACATTTAAAAAAATATTCTGTGGCCAGGTATAGCACACACCTATAATGTCAGCTACTCAGGAGGCTGAGACACAGGAGAATTGCAAGTTAAAGGCCAGCCTAGGCAAGTGAGATGCGTCACCAAAAAATAGTGTAGGGTTGTAGCTCGGTGGCAGCATGCCTGTGGGTTGGATTTCCCAGTACTACAAAACCAAACCAAACCAACCCAATCCAACCTACTCCACCCCTCTTCTTGGGCAGAACACTTATCAATTTATCCCAGTAGTTTGTCCCCAATGGTGAAAATGTCATTTTCTGAGATGACAACTGCATAAGGTTAGAAATACAGTGGAATAAGTGTATAGGGAAGTTCCTGATTTTCAATACCTTCCACCAGATTTCTAATTAAATATATATTTTAAATTGATTATTCTCTAAAATACTAACTTTTGATAGGTTATTGCTTACTATACATGAAGAAGTGCCACTCTTACTCCATAAAGTAAGCCACTCTTAAGTTCCAAATTCTACTAACACTGATATCTTTAGGTCCTTACCTAATCTATTCTACTTATGGATAAATTACCTGATGACAGGACCATGACTGATCACTCTGGTTTCCCTAAAAGGTTCATCTGATGAGTGCCAAACCACTATTTTTGTAAAATCAAGTTGTATCTTCCTTCCTGATTTATAACTGGATAATATAGGCTGGGCTATAATTAACATTACTGTACATGTATGATTATTCAAATAATGACAGTGTATGAAAGGATTTCTTTTAAACTTAATGAAAGCCAAAATACAAGAGTAACTGTCTCAACTAGCAATGAGCTACAGTAATTGTTACATAGAAAATGGCTAGAAGCGAGATCTTGTGCAAAGAAACTCAACTTAAGAACAAGGATTACATTACAGAAAGGGAAAATGACCTCTGTGATTGTTGGGAGCAAACAACGTCAAATGTACTTTAAAAACTTTCATAAAATGTCATTCTTCAAACACTTCGCCTGCTCAATAGAGTCAAGAAAGTTTGCTTCTAATCCAGAAACATTTGCTCACTTTAAAAATAATGAATTAACTTAGCCCACCAATAGACCTAGAAGCAGTAACAATTTAATATTGATGAGCACCCTTAGCGTCCAGATTATAGTCTCCAAGAACCCTTCCTCACAAAAAAGAACCAGGGTCCTTGGTTGAAATTCCAGGTCTGTGTCAGGAAATGTACAAGTTGGGCCTGGTATTTCTTACTGAGCTAAAAAGCAAAGCAACTCTCACAAATTATTTTGGTGATGTCAAAAGAGGAAAATTCAGCATTAAAAAGAAACATGTGTGCAACTCAATGAGGCACATGGAGAAATCCAGTAGTTATTAAAATACAGTCGGGGAGGGGAATGAAGCTCACTGAATACCAATGGGAGTTTCTAGGATAACATACTACTCTATGAACTGACAATTGGCAGCATTTATTCTGCGTCTCTCATATGAAATGTGTCTGGAATAACCAAATCGTTGTAGTGGATGAAGAAAATTTATTATCTATAAAACTACTAATAAATAAACAAGGAATGACTGATTTTGAAAATTACCTTTTCGTAATGCCTAATAAAATGACTGAATGAGCAATGTTAAATGTAAGGTTGATGGCGAATTTTATTTTATTTATTTTTTTGGTTTATTTGAGAGAGGGTCTTGCTATGTAGCTTAGACTGGCCTTGAACTCACTATGTAGCCCAGACTGGCCTTGAACTCATGGCAATCTTCCTGCCTCAGCCTCCTCCTGAGCATGTGTTACCATGCCTGGGCTGGGAAACTATAATGAATGACGGTGTCACCACTGGGTCTCACCACTCAATCTTGACAATACTAAAAGTATGTCTCTTGATGCAATGAAATATGAACTATGTAGAACCACCTACAAAATATTACCAAAAGAAAAACTGAGTTTAAGTCTAATTTGAATATGAACTCTGGAAAGATATGGCATAATGGGACAAGTCAAATGATAATTACATGAAAGCCATGAGACAGCTCCACAGTGGAGGGTATCGTGTAGAATAAAACATTCAGTGTTTTGACAAATAAATAGCATGCAAATATGTGTGTGTGGGATGAGTCAAGCACTGGTCAAAATGAAAGGAACTTAAACTTTTTTTTTTGAGGCAGGCTCTTGCTTTGTAGTTCAGGCTGGCTTGGACTCACTATCTAGCCCAGGCTGGTGTGGAACTGATGGCGATCCTCCTGCCTCAGCCTTCGAAGTGCTGGGATTATAGGGGTGTACCACCCTAACTGGCTCTTAAACTTTTTTTGACTTAGGTAAAAATTACACCCAAATGTAATAACTGAATCATTTTAGGATGCTTATTTGAGTATTTGTACAAAATAACTATTAAAAGTGTTTTTGGGAGAAATCAAGGAAATTTGAGTATGAACTGGGTATTGGTTACACAGCTACTGTTAATTTTTAAAAGTACATGTATTAATACTATCTTTTTATTTTTAAGAAGCTTACTGAAGTGCTCAGAGATTTTCTTTAAAATACCCCAGCCCCTCCCCCGAAGTGGGAAGGGGGTACACTGAGGAGATAGAGGAAAGAAGCACAGCAAAATAATGACGGTTGCTAGGGTTGAGTGACTGGGGGTATGCGAGATTTCCTTCTTTCTTATACTTTTGTATATGGCTGAAATTTTTGCAATGAAACTTTTAAAAATAGGATTACTGGGCAACATTCATACCCTTAACATTATAATGACTCCTGGAACATCTTCCACTTGCCCCAGAGTTTCATGGGTAACTAAGAGAAGCTCAGCGGCCTCCTCAGGTTCTGTCAGTGCCCTGGAGTATCATTTGCCTGAGCCAGAGAACAAATTCATTTAGAATGAGAAAGTCCTTTCTGAAAGTCCTTTTCATAGAACTTGGGCTCCAAATGCTGTGTGTCACATGTCCAGATGATTCTCTTTGATAGACGAGTGTTGGTTTCTTTCTTCCTCGCAATCTTTTTGGTTAAACTGTGGTTCAATATAGTATGTTACTATTATACCTTTAATATTATTGTCTGGGGTACAAACATACCCACAGGATTATTTCCTAAGTTTTCCACGATGTTCACCACAGGTAATATAGTAAAAATCCTCACCTTTACAGAGGACTAACTCTGTAGCATTCCACACTAAACAAGAAAACTGCAGTAGGTGAAACTGACTGTGGTGTGGCAGTTGCGATGAGGGCTTCTCCTGACTATCCTGTCCTCGGGAAGATCAACAGCTCCCTTTCCCTTGACACTGAAATGGTCCTCAAACCTCCTCAAGGGTATAGTAATGGCAAAAAAACATGGTACTTAGATCTGGATGGCAAGTGCGGCTCTCTTACTTACAAGCTGTCTAACCTTGAGCAATATCCTTATTCTCTCTCTGAGTTTCTATTTCTTCATCTGTAAAATGCCAAGAGTAACACCTAGCCCACATCTAATATGACACTAGATACTGCACATGACACAGAGCAAGCACTCGGCAAGTGATATCCACAAGACACGATGTGAAGGAAACAGAAAAATAATCATTACGATAGAGAAGAAAAACCAGAGGTGTAGTCCCCAAATTGTTATCAATGGTTCTGCTGGAAAGGATTATGGGACGAACATTTTACATGAAACATTTCTAAAACGTTTAACTTTTAAAATAGTAAATATATATTACTTTTTAATCGGAAAAATTTAAATGCTTTAACAATATCTCCTCTCTTCATTCCTATGTCCATCATTCTTCCTTGGACTCTTCCCAGCGGGAACTGCAGCCCTCTCACCCTCTAACCAGTGATGGTGAAACTTTTGGAGCTTTCGATGCTAACAAATAGCCCACTGTGGCATGTGTGCCATGGGTTCACCACCACTGCTAAGCTAGTTTCCATCTTGCCACCAGAACTCACCCCTGGTGACTCTAGGTTGCTCACAGAATGACACTGCAAACTTCTTGTAGGGCATGGAGGGCTCTTCCACATCTGGTCTCAGTCTTTCCAGCTTTAGACTCCTTCCCTGCCTTTGCCTCATCCCGGCCTCCTGCCACACTAGAATTCTTGTATTCGTGAAACACATACATTCTCTCACATAATTTCATATTTCTATGGGCTGAAACAGCAGTGAACAAAGTGGTTTTAGACAGCACATGTTGATGATGGCAAAACCTCTCGCAGACCTAGGCCACCTGCCTTCTACTGCCTGTGAAAAATGCACTTATTTTGTGATGGTGCCACTCCATTTTGGGGTCTACTTATTGCAGAAGTTTAGTACACCCTAACTAATAGACAATATATTTCTTTTTTCAAAACTGAGAGACATGATTCCTCAGCAGAAGCATTACTTTGCATCAAAACCCAAAGTAATCATAACATACTTCTTTGCTCAACAATGATAAATGCACAGTCATCATAAATAAATGTGATTATTAGTGAAACTGAAAACAGTGACAAAGTATATTAGAAGACAGGGGGAAGGAAATAGAGTAACAGTGGCAGTAAAAAAAAAAAAAAACTTAAAAAGATGTTTAAATTTGATAAACCAAAAAGTTAGTATAAGTCCATTATTTGTATCACAGAGATAAACACATGATAAAAAATAATGAACAAATATTAAAAAAAAGTGGTTGTCTTTGGGCAGTGGGACTGAAGGGCGGAAAAGGAAGAAGCAAAGAGCTATGCTTTGTTGATGTATCAGATTTCTAAACTGTGTTATGTGTTAATACTGTTGCTTATGAATCTATACGGGGAACAGAACCCACAGGTGAGATGGACTGTAGGGGACAGCAGAATCAAAACCAGGAACACTATAAAATAAAAGGTAATGGTGATTTCAGGGGCAGAATAAAAAACTGGATAGGAGAAGAACACAGTCTTGTAACTGCAAGCACTGCTGCACCACATTCCGGGCTTTAGATTTAGAGTTGCCTCAAAATGTCTAAGAAACACTTGTAAATGAATAGACATTAAAAAAAAAAAAATCAAAGATTGTTTATCCAGCAGCACTTCAGTTTTTGGTTCCTCCATCACATATACAGAGTAATGTACAGTTTCTCCCCATGTGGAAGCATGTCACACTGGCAGATGCTAGCTACCGCAACATTCTTGAACCTACTATTGGAGTTTTCAGAACCGGTGTGAGTGTGCGCATGTGCAATGAGAGGATTCAAATTCAAACAACTGTACAGCTGGAACAGTGCATACTGGGAGGCATAAACAACATTGTAGTAGAAAGAAACAGCAGAAAAGTGGAGGAAAGAGAGGTAATAAATGGAACATAACATAACAAGGGATTTTGCTATAGCTTAAGTAATCTTAGAGACACTGATTTGGAGAGCTGATGTCAGGAATGGCAACCACCCATCCTGCGGTTCCAAAGTGAACTGCCCGTACTACCAGCGAGGCTAACGCTGCATGTTTTGTGTGTGTGGTATTAACTCAACCCAGAACTTTGTGCACACTACATAAGCACTCTAGCACTCAGCCACCACCCCATCTTATGTACTTTTAACAATTATTTTAAACTCCAGTACTTTAAAGGAAGCCAAGCACCTACCCTTTGAGGAGCATAAATAGGATGTGAGGATGAGCACTAATATACTCCACAGTAGGACTCCGAGTGCCTATCTGTCTTCTCAGGATGTTGTTAAATATCTGGGTTACATCTTTCTTTCCCTGTTAACAAAACAAACCATCATTCAGTTGTACACGTTAATGGATGAATTGTATGGTGTGTGAAATGCACGCACACAGGCAGAGGTAGTACATTCTTTAAAATAGACAAAAACATTAATTTAACTCTATTTATTTCTCTTTAATAAGCTATGCTTTCAAACACAAAGTCCACAGAATGAATGTGGCCCCTTCCCACAGGGTGTACAGTGTGGGAAACGGGCCGAGTCAGGAGCTCCTTTCGCACAGTAGCACACACGACAGCACAGAGGATAGAAATGGCAGCAAATATGATAGAGTTGAATTCTTTAGAATTGTTTTACTTTTTAGTTTTATTCCAGAAGAAAAATTTTAAGCCTTCATAGATAAGGAAGGAAAATAGACAAGAAAATAAAGTTAGAATTTTGCTAGGCTGTTAGAATCAAATTCCTTTTTCCTTAGACAAGCTGCTGGCAATTTTTCCCCTTCACTTTACTTCTCCTCCTTCATGGTGCCTTAATTTTTTAAAAGTGAGATGTAAATTTAAAATATGAGTTTTCAAGACTGGGCGTGGTGGTACACACCTGTAATCGCAGCACTCAGGCAGCTGAGGCAGGAGGATCAGTGCAAGTTTGAGACCAGCCTGGGCTACAACATGAGCTCAAGGCCAGCCTGAACTGTATAGGGAGACCCTGTCTCAAAAAGACAAAAAAACTTAAAAGAATAAAATACGAGACTTCCAGCCAGGTGTAGTGGTGCATGCCTGCAATCCCAGTACTTGGAAGGCTGAGGCAGGAGGATCACAAAGAGTTGGTTACCAGCCTGCACTACATACTGAGTTCAAGACCAGCCTGGACTACACAGTGAGACCCTATCTCAGAAAACAAACAAAAAAAGAGTTTTCTATTACTTGGGTATACTGACTGAAGTGATCACAAGAAATTAAAACTAGCTTACAGGAGCAGAAGGGACCATTCAGTCTCATTTTCCTGAGCCAGACAATGAGTCCTCTGGACAAGATCTCACCTTTCCTACATCCCACAACCTGAGTCTATCCTGATTCTCCAAAAGAAGCTCTGGAGAAGCCTTAAGCTTATTATCTGGAAATAAGGACAAGGATATTGCCTTCTTAATCACTATGACACTGGTTTGGGCCTTGCCTTTCAACTGAACTGTAAAAGAGAATCTTAAGTTTCTCTCTCCACTTCACAGCATGGCAACAAATGCAAATCTGACCATGCCACTCTCTCCTTTAAGCTCTTCAACATCTACTTTCGGCTTTGAAAAAAGTCCAGTGCCTTGCATGCATGGGCCCTTGCCTGCCTCTCCAGGTCATCAGATACCTAGGGCTCCCCAAAACCTGCATCAAACGCTGTTCCTACCAAACGAGTGTACTATTACATACACTCATACATAGCCTTTCAGGCCCTCCACTTTTGTTCATGCTTTCCTGCTTATCCTAAATATTCTTCCTTCCTTTTTCTAGCAAACTCAGTTCTTTAAGAGTTAGCGCATGATGTTTTCCGCTGGGGTAAGTATTTCCGTCTCTATTAATCCAATATTCACTGCCTGCACTGGTCAGGGTCTTCCCCTCTCCCACTACCTGCCCCTCCCCCTCTACCACTGTCAGACAAGCAAATCTACTAAGTGCTTATTCTGTGCCAGGCACTTACGCTAAAAGCCTTACACACATGATCCAGTCATAACAGTCTTATAACTTACTTATTATAAGTAAGGAAATTGAGGACTAGTGATGTGTTGCTTTATCCAGATGGGATGTAAAAGAGCCAGGATGTTCTGTCCTAGGTTGATGGAGTCCAGTCTGACTTAGTTGTCACACTGAGGTGATTGTCAACACTAACGCTGTGCATGGAAATGAGGGAGTTTTATCCCTAACTTCTTCACTGCACTGTTAGTCTTCAAGGACACAGGCCATAATTTCAATGCTCAGAATACAGTGGGCATTGAGTACATGTCTATTAGACTGCTTCATTATTTAGAGAAACAGCTCTCATATCTCATCACAAATACGGGCTACTGATCCCTCATAACTTTTTAATTTGGCACTTTTTAATATTAAAGATACACTAAAAAACTAAGGCCCAAAATGACAGATAAGATTATTCAGTTACTTAATTTATAAAGCTATTAGTTATATGAAATACGAATGAAATACTGATTAAGAAGAGTAGTACATAGAAAATATTTTCTAAGGATATCATTCATCTTATAAAAATTAATTCAGAATAGATCTTTGATTTTAAACATAAAATACAAAACTTTTAGAATAAAAGTTTACAAAAAATATAGAAAAAATATAGGAAAAGAATAGAAAAAATAAGAGAACATTTTTAGACTCTGGGGCTAAGAAAAACTTCTTATACTTGACACTGACTTGACATCTTGTCTTATTCTTGACATGAAAAGGTTAATCAATAAAATTAAAATGTGACAGACTACAATTCACCAAAATTTAAAAGTTCTGCTCTGCTAAAGATTCTGTTAATAAGATGAAAAGACAAGCTACACACTAGGAGGAAATACTGCAAACTATAAATACAACAGAAGGCCATTACTTAGACCATAAAACCAAGTAATTAGAAAATGAGTGTAAGACATGGAAAAATGTTTCACCAGAGGGTATACAGAGAGCAAAAAAAAAAAAAAAAAAAGGTGTTGAATGCTATTATCCTTCAGGAAATGCAAGCAGAAATCACAATGTAAGAGGATTACAAATCTATCAGAATGTTTCAAATAAAAAAAATGGGCAAAAATGAAGAAAAAACCACACTCATACTTTGCAGTGGGGGTGTAAAACTTGTCAATTTGGAAAACATTTTGGCAGTTTCTTAAGAAACTAAACATGCAACTACCTTATCAGTACAACTTCATTGGCATTTATCACAGAGAAGTGAAAACTTATATAAAAATGTGGCCATGCATGTTCACAAAACATTATTTGTAATGGCCAAAAACTAGAAACAACTCAGAAATTCCACAGGTAAATGGTTAAACAAACTGTGGTACCTCCATACCAAGGGCTACTTTTCAGCAACTAAAAGGTACAAACTATACATACATGCTACAATTTTGGTGGATCTTGAGAAATTATGCCAACTGAAAAAAGCCAGTTCCAAAAGGTTACACACTGGATGGTTGCACTAGATAACATTCTTAAAATGATAAAATTGTAGAAATGGAGAACAGATTAGTGGTTGACAAAAAGTCGGTGATGGGTAGTAATGAAATAAGGCAGGGTGCATGTGGCTAGAAAAGGGCAAGGAGAGAGATCTTAGCTGCACATGATGGCGCATCTTGTAGTCCCAGCAACTCGGGAGGCTGAGGCAGTAGGACAGCTGAGTTTGAGGCCAGCTTAGGCTACATAGTGAGCTCAAACCTAGCCTGAACTTCTGGCAAAACTCTGTCTCAAAAAGCGAAGGGGAGAGAGAAGAGAGAGATCTTTGTGGTGATGGAAATTTTCTATATTTTGACTTTAGCAATGTCAGCATCCTGGCTGTGTTACTGTCATATAGTTTTGCAAGATATTACCAGTGGGAGGACTGGATAAAGTGCATGGAATTTCTCTGAATTATTTCTTACAACTGATATCAATCAACAATTACAGTAAAGTAAAAAAAATTACTTTTTAAAAAAGACATTTTTCTTCATCCATCAATTTTTTTTTTTTTTTTTTTTTTTTTGGTTTTTCTCTTCTCCTGTACCGGAAACCGAACTCACGCTC